AAGGTCTTCAATCATAATCTAATCCTAGTTTATGCTTTCATCTTAAGAACACAGAAAAAAGAAAAATAATGCAAAGTAAGCAAAATAGAAATAATCGAGATCCTTATGCATGGATGGGAGCTGCGAGCCTAGCGCTTGTGCTTCTGAGTGTGGCCATCAGCTGGAGAAGAAACCATCTCCTCTCTTCCTGAGTTGGCTCCAGCCAGCGCTGCAGCTGCCCCAAAACTATGACATGTGCCACCATGCCCAGATCATAGGGCCTTTGGGGGCTCTTTTAAAAGCCATAAAGACCAAGCTCTTCTTAAAGTACACAAGCATCTGTGAAAACTGAAAGGGGAGGTACCAAGGTCTGTTTCAGAAGCTGGACCCCGCTCCCCTTTGGACTTCAGGAGTAAGTAGACAAAAGCATCTACATAAAAGGAAGAGGGTCAAAAGGCCTTCTGGGAGCACCGCTGCTTCACAGAGCAAAGATCGTGCGTGGGGATTAATGATCTGAAGACATCAAAAAGCAGCAGAGTGTAAGAAGTGCTGTTAAAGGGAGGACAGGTGAGGCGTGGTGGTTCATCCCTGTAATCCCTGCACTTTGGGAGGCAGAGGCAGGCGGATCACCTGATATCAGGAGTTCAAGACCAGCCAGACCAACATGGCGAAACCCCATCTCTACTAAAAATACAAAATTTAGCCGGGTGTGGTGGCAGACACCTGTAATTCCAACTGCTTGGGAGGCTGAGGCGGGAGAATTGCTTGAACCCAAGGAGGCGGAGGTTGCAGTGAGCCAAGATCACGCCACTGCACTCCAGCCTGGGCAACAAGAGCCAAACTCCATCTCAAAAAATAAAAACGCAATTTAAAAAAAAGGGGGGAAGACAGTACTGTTTAGACAGAGGTGGATCAGGTGGAGACACTCACTGGGAGTTGGTGCCTGAAGCCCCCGCAGGGCGGTATACCAGCAGCCACACCTCTCACCGCTCCTGATGCCACCGGCTACCTGCCAGCCCCGTGTCACTCTCTAAGGTATGGGGTAGGCTGCAGAACTCCCCATGTGGGTCACACTCTACTGGGGACGGAGCCCCATCTGTGCTCCCATTGTGCCCTATGCCATCAGTGCCCACACACAGGGTGCTGGTGCCACTGAATGTTGGTGGAATGGATAAGCAGCAAGGGTGGGCTCAGGAAGCCCCCGCATTTCCAACCCAACACAACCACCACACTTTGCTTCTTTTTGCTAAGTGTCACTGGCAGGTCCTTCTGTCCATAGTTACCTGTTCTTCCCACTCTGAGACCAGAGCCGTGGTGCAGGCTACCCGGTGCTACGCACCTGCCAATTGTGCTCTTTAATAAAACTCTGAAATGGGCATGGCCACTGGCCACAACAGGAGACTGACCAGAGACCTGCACGCAGAGGGGGATGCCAGACCTACACGTCAGACCACTGCAAACAGCAGAGCTTCAGCCCAAGTCCTAACTCCTCCCCATCGGAGCTCATTACCAAAACACCCACAGCCACCTTGAGAAGGTCGTCTGGGGGACCCTGGTGAAGACGGGATGGATTCCAAGCCCCTTCCTGCTCAGACCCACCCCACCATCATCAGGATGGTACTGGATCTCAGCTTAACGCAAAACAGGTCAGTGTGGACCTGGGAAAAGGTGTCCTCAGGGGCATAACACAGACCCAGCGTCCCTTCGGAAGAAAACCCGAGGCCTCCAGATCCCTCCTCTGGCCTCCCACCCCTGGATGGGTGCTCAGAGTCCTCCCCAGGCAGGAAGACCTGGGGTCCTTCAAAGTCAAAGTGGTCCTGGGTCAACCACCCACCAGGCAGGATGGATCCTGGGAAGAGCAGCAGCTGGGGCAAGTTTTAATAATTTTAATCAGCTTCCTGCCCATGAAGAATGGCACCGGAGCAGGATTCCTCCTTACCCAATTAAACACATTGGATCAGTCCAGCTAAAGACGCTCAACCTCAAACTCAGCCACAGGCCGAGCACTCAGGCCAGCAAGGTCTGCCAAGCCTCCTGATCCAGCACATTCGCGACCTTCCCCTCCAGTCACATCCTTCATCCTGAGCTGGCCCGAGTCACTTTCCCTAGGTTTGAATTCAGCTTCACTTTGAGGCCCTGTTTTTCTGGAGACCAATTCTCTGTGCCAAGGAGGGGGTTTTCCATGATGCCCCTGCCCGCTGTGCTTGCTTGGAAACTGGCGACCACAGGACACTCCTGATGTCACGTCCTGGGGTCATCAACCCCAGGCAATCAAGAACTCAGCTCCTGAGAGCCTTCCAGAGGGACCCCAAAGGAAAGCAAGCATGGCCCCTGCCTGCAGCAGACCGGTGTCTGATAAATACAAGTCGTCTGCAAAGAAAGCAGCCCCGGCAGCTCCTGGGGCTGAGGTGTAGGACAGGACAGGAGACACCACCGGTCTCCGACTCCCAAAGCACGTCTAGCTCACATCACTCAGAGCTCAGTTTGGGGTGCCAGACCAACAGGGCCATGTTGAAATAAGAAACACCTGCCCGGCTGGGCACGGTGGCTCAAGCCTGTAATCCCAGCACTTTGGGAGGCCGAGACGGGTGGATCGCAAGGTCAGGAGATCGAGACCATCCTGGCTAACATGGTGAAACCCCGTCTCTACTAAAAATACAAAAAAATAGCTGGGCGAGGTGGCGGCGCCTGTAGTCCCAGCTACTCAGGAGGCTGAGGCAGGAGAATGGCGTAAACCCGGGAGGCGGAGCTTGCAGTGAGCTGAGATCTGGCCACTGCACTCCAGCCTGGGCGACAGAGCGAGACTCCGTCTCAAAAAAAAAAAAAAAGAAACACCTGCCCAAGAGGTTCATGGAAGAAGCCTAGGAGGCCAATATAGGCTCTTTCAAAAAGAGTCATCTCGGTGGCTGGTGTCCTGAACTTATTCAATCCCTGTATTAAAGAGGGCTGTTTCAGGGTCCAAGTGGAAAATTAACACCACCGTCCAGCCCACATCCTAGCTTGCCTGTCTGGAAACTGAAGAGTCAAGGAAAAATAAAAAGATATGGCATTGGTCCTGAATGGAATTCAGTTCATGGAAGCCCACAGTCCACACGGAAGCCCACAGTCCACATGGAAACCCACAGTCCACACAGAAACACAGTCCACACGGAAGCCCACAGTCCACATGGAAGGCCAGAGTCCACAGAGAAGCCCACAGTCCACATGGAAATCCACAGTCCACACAGAAGCCCACAGTCCACATGGAAGCCCAGAGTCCACACAGAAGCCCAGAGTCCACATGGAAGTCCACAGTCCACACAGAAGCCCACAGTCCACATGGAAGCCCAGAGTCCACACAGAAGCCCACAGTCCACATGGAAGCCCAGAGTCCACACAGAAGTCCACAGTCCACACGGAAGCTCAGAGTCCACACGGAAGCCCACAGTCCACACGGAAACCCACAGTCCACGCAGAAGCCCACAGTCCACATGGAAGTCCACAGTCCACACAGAAGCCCACAGTCAAGATCAACCTTCCAAGAGCGTGTATAGGACATTTACTTCTCTTAGAGCGGCTGGATCCAAAATACGGGGACTGAGGCACAGCTGACTCTGGTAGCTCCCTTGCTGTGCGACCACCACCTGGTCATTTGGATATCATCAGTTAGGACCTAAAGCAGTAAGGTCTTCCTAGGGCTGTCGGGAGAGAAACAGGAGCTCCGTGCGTGTTCTCTGCCACAGCATGCCCTTAGGTTTGACAGGGGTGCCCTCAACTCACAGGACAGGCAGGGAAACCTCGGGAATAACAGGCTTGCCAGTGTGCTCCACCCAACCCTCGGCCTTAAGGAGGAACGTGAATGTGGCAGGAGTCTTGTCTTCTACAAGCACAGAATGACCCACTTTGTGGGATTCTTAGGGAACCTCACCCAAACGCCGGCCTTTTGCTGGTAATGCTGTGAAGGTAAACTGAGGGTCCTGCCTTGGCCCAGCTCACTTTCCTCTTCTGCTCTCTTCTCGGGAACTGAGGTGGCGTTTTACCACAGACCTGCTCAAAGGCCTGGATCCGCTGAGAGAACTCTCAAATCTACAACTCCAGGCTTGGTTTGGAACGAGAAAACCGTTTTGTGACTGGCTCTCCCACACTGTGAAAAACAAAATCAATGGCAGCAGCAAGCATTTACATCCCCAGGTGCTTGCATAGTTTCCCGGCCAGTCTCATCTACATCTCCGCAAACATCAGTACGACAATGTATCGCCAAATTACCTGTGATACCCTTTCCACCACAGCCCTGCCAGCCCCCGTCAGCAGTGGATTTTCTTTGAACAACTGTAGAAACTGAGGCATGATGCAATAACTTCAAAGAAGAGTGAATTAGCAACTTAATAAGCTGTCGTTTCCCAAGAACCCGGAGTTCCTTGCATAAGAAGTTATATCAATGAGCGATGTGTGATTCTTGATTCAGTTTTAAAGAGAAGACACCATCCAATCAACGCACAGGTAGGTGGTGAGGCCTCAAGCCATAAAGATGACCTATTCTTTAAAAGGAAAACAAGGAGCAAAAAACTCCAGCCGGTTACCCCACGTAGCCAGGAAGCACCCGGCCGCTGCAGGCCTCCCAGGCTGTGCAGACAGCTCTCTGTGCTGTGTCCGTGGGATTCTCACCACAGCCGGCAATACACAGACTCAGCCTGGCCTCCCCACCGCACCCCACCACGGCTGCCGTGTGAACAAGCATCCGCTTTACATATGGGATGAAACACACACCCATGCTTTAAAGGAGAAACCTACTACTCGGAACACAGGCCCAAGCCTCCTCCAAATGTGTGCATGAGCACGAACGTGAAAACGGACAAATGAAGCGTCTTCCTCTATGATCGTCCCTGCACCCTCAGAGGACAGACCCCAACCTGTCAACTTCCCAGCCACATACGTGTGCGTGTTAAAAACAGAAGAGCACCCAGGTGGAAAGAGCCTGCACAGAAGACAGCCCGAAACGAAACCCACAAAGCCTCTGCAGCATTCAGAAAATAAACACTCACATTCCAAAGCTCCCTGTCGGCTCCTCTCTCCCATCGCTCGACTGTGAGAATCTTTCCCAGCTCGTCCAAGACTCAGTCCGGCTTTTGCGCAAATCAGCTCCAAGCTTCTATGACTCAGCAAAGAGCTCGGCTTTTATTTTTCAGATGGAATTTACCACGCTGTGACTACATCCAGGGGGAGGAACCATTTCCCCGAGCTGTTTCCGAGCAGAGCCCGTGAGCCAGATCGCCCAAGCGCTCCCTGTGCACAGTGAAGGCCAAGCACAGAGGCACCCTCTGAGCCCCCAGCCCAGCTCCCTGCAGGGTGCAAACAGACGCTTCAGGCTTCTCGGTGGGGAAGGGGCCTGCAGCTCTGCATGGCTGGCCAAAGGCACAGGCACACAGGTGAGATCCTGGCAGCAGCTTGGTTCTATTCAGATGCAGAGGTGGCCTGGGCTCCGGGTTGGCCCGGCGGCAGTCTCACGTGAAAATCAGCGAGTGGCAGAGGCCACGGCTGGGCCATCCCTGCCCGCGCTGCTCCCTTGGCTTCCTGGTTGCTCCAGGACCCGGTTCTGGCTGGCTTTCCCTCCTGCTTGGAGAACCCCCTTCAGGATTGCAGAGCGAGCGGGTCAACAATGGGAACGAATTTCCACTCTGAGGGTATCTATTTTAAATGTCAGGTGATAGGAGGGATTCGCACCCACTCAACTGGGAGGAATGAAAATGCAGACGGGAACCAGACACACGAGACCAGCAGCATTCCTGTGTGAAGGACAAGCACATGAGCTCTCCTGGCCCATCAGTCCCAGATGCAGTCCATAACCACCCTCTGGAAAAGCCGTGTAACTGAAGCTGCTCCGTAGAAAATGCAGGGTCCGACAGGGTTTCCAAGCAGGAGGGCTTTTGGAGTCCATCTGGGTCCGATTCCATCAAAGGAGCCTTGAGGGCTGCTGGTGCGGGTGGCCTGAAGCTCCTGCCCTGCCCTGTCTCCAGCCACCAGGGCCTGCACTGAGGCTGCATCGGCGCCTGGACCCCAGAGCAGGCCTGCAGGCCCAGGTTCTGGTGGTCAGCCCGGGAGGACCCTACATCCCCTTTGTTCCCAGCCCACTCTGCCTCAGTTCCCTCGCCTGCACCCTGCCTGCCCTCTCAACCCACCTCTTCTAGTCAAGGCCAAATGTCACTTCACCCCAAAGCTGAGACCGGCCGGCACCACCCCGAGAGGAGCCCAGAGTGAACGCCGATGACAGCATGTCAGAGGATGACACGGGGCAGGCCAGGACTTCCGGTTGTATCTGCTGTCTGTCTAGATCTGGCTACCCTCGTAAGTTAGAACAAGCAATAAAATTGTCCTGATTACAACCATGGCCACACGTCTGGCCAAACATACAGGGTGCAACAACCCTCCGAGGGTCACGCGTCCTGACTCGTGTGACAGAGCTGCCCACTGTCCCTGGTTACCAACCATCGCTGCCTCTGTCATAGGGGAGGCGGCTGGAGCCGGGAGGCCATGCAGCTGCCTCACAATCACATCCCTGTCAGGTCCCGGAGCTGGATTCAGACCCAGGACGGTGGGTCCGAGATCCAAACCCCTCCCATATCGCCCCGAAGCAAAGAGGGTTCCCACACCGGTGGCTCGGGGTCCACGCCCATCCCTGTGGGCGGTTCCTCCTCAGCCCAGGCAGGCCACGGGGACAACCTTCCGGACACGGGCAGTGCCCACTCAGCCCAGGCAGGCCACGGGGACAACCTTCCCGACACGGGCAGTGCCCACTCAGCCCAGCTGTCCTCCTGCTGGAGTCGATCCTGCAGAAACAACACAAGGATGGTGTGTGCACAGATTTGACTTTAGTCCAAATACTTTATAGCACCTACCCCGTGCCAGGCACTGTTGTAAGACTTTAAATATAACTCAGGGATGATTATGGCAGTGTTGTCCATAATATAACAGTGAATAATTGGAAACGTCCTAGACGTCCAACAACAGAGAAGCGATTTAACAAGCGATGGGAAACGCACATACATCCAAATACAATGGGGCCATTTAAAAATGTCCCCAGTCCAAGCTTAACAGAAAGATGTAAACAACGTGTTAAGTTTTTTAAAGCCAGCTATAAAAAAGCGTGTATAGTATGATCACATTTGTTTTTAAAAATGCGTGCCTCTGTGTGTTGCACTCGAAAAAAATAAAGCCCGAAAGTGTCGATACTGAGCTCTAAAGTGGCTGTATCTCTAGATGATAGGATCTCAGGTGACTTCATATTTTTGTTTTGTATCTTTCTGAATTGTATGGGGTTTGTTTTTTTTTTTTTAGAATCGGAAACAGTATTTTTAGAATCAGAAAAAAAAATCTGTTTTCATTTTCGAACTGATGCACATGCATGTATGTGCTTTTGATTCCTGCAGTAAGCATGGCCTTTGCAGATGCTCAGTCCTTACACCAAGCCCAGAGGGAGACACTGCCTCTCCCGAATCCCCACGCTGGCCGAGGCGGGGAGCGGGCAGGTGCTGGGGTCTGACGTTCAAGCTCAGGGAGTAGCCTGTTCTTTAAATGGCATCAATTTTTCTAGTTGTAAATGTGCTCATTGTAGAGGATTTGGAAAATAAAGGAATAGATGAATAAGAAAACTATCCTTGCTAGTCTGTGAGAAGCTGAGCTTGAGCAGGGCCTCCCAGCCACATTGCCAGCTCCACCCTAATTCTTCCAGATCCCGGAAACTGAGCCTCAGCACCCGGGACAGAGCCGGCACCCACAGGACGTGTTCCGAGGAAAGGAGGCTTAAACAGCAGGGCTCACTTGTGTCACAGACAGGGTCTGGGAAAACCGCGACCCCCAGAGGGTCTCTACATCTCACATGGCTGCCTCGCCAGGCACCACGAGGCCCAGGTCCAATCCCACAGCCCATCCCTGGCTTCCCTTTCCCACCCACAGGCAGTTGCCACTTGTCCTTTCTGGGGGAGCTTGGTCACTCCCCACGATCACTCCCAAATCCAGGCTCTGCTGCTCCACTGCTGATTCCCAGACCCACCCGTCCTCCTGCCGGCTCGTATCTCCATACTATTCCTCGGGGGCCTCTCAGACCTGGCGGGTCCAAAAATAACCTGCCCCACCCCAAACTTCACTCTTCCTATTATATTGCAGGTCCTGACACAGCCATTCACCAGTTATTATCCAAGCAAAACATGGCTGCCTTCCCTTTCTCCTCTCCTCCCAGACAGGCCTGCGCCTCCAGGCCCTGCACACAGCTGTTGGACCCACCACCAACCCAGCTCCTGTCATGCAAAGCTACCTCCTCCTGGAGTCCCGCCAGGACTGCCCCCTGGAGCCTCATCCTCAGTCCCTCCCTCTCATGACAGACCTGTTTTTATTCCCATGCATGGCTCTGTATTTTTACTACGTAACTATGAATTCATCACCACTGCTTTTTGTGTTTTGGAAAAACAGCATAATTGGCATCATACCATACATATCCTTTCGCAATTTTCTTTTTTCACTCAACATCATGTCCTTGAGGGCCATCCACACTGGTACGTGTAGATCTTCATCCGTCTTCGCTGTATCCCCACGTATGAAGTAACCGTGTGTTGTGTTGGTTTCCCACCACCTCCTGGCTGATGGGGAGTCAGGCGGCTTCTCTTTTCTCATCTTTGTACATGGTGTTGCCATGAGCGCCCCTGCCTGTGTCTCAGGCCCATCTGCTCAGGAGCCTTCAGAGCAGGCGCTTGAATGGGAGGTGGTGGGGCTGAGGGACAGCCATCTTTGACGGTCTCAGCACCGCAGGCTGCTACCCAAAGCAACGACCAGGATGAGCGCCCGTCTCCCGACACCTCCCAAGCCTGATGGACAGTGTGAGGGGTGGAGAAGATTTCTCCCTGTTGAATTTAACGTGTATTTCCTGAGTACTAATGATCAGCCACTCACTGGCTGCCCAGGTTTCTGCATCTGGGCTCGCCCAGCCCCTCTTCCCCTCTCTCTCTGTGGCTCATCATCCGTGGCTTTCAAGGAGGCTGTTCTGCGATCTGGATAGGAGTCCTGTGTTGGTGAAGCCTCTGCTAGTCTTTGCAATTTTTATGTTGCCTTCCATTCTCCAGAAACTTTCAAGTGAACCATTTTACCCATGTTTTCCTCTGTTTTATGTTTTTGTTTAGGAAATGTGTGTCTCATACGTGAAAACATCTTCCCAGGCTTCCTCCTAAAGGTTTTCACCCTTGGGTCTTCTCCGTGTGGAAGGCCAAGCGTGCACCCTTCCCCACTGAGAGCCCGGTGCTACCCCTGACCTGACAATGCCAGCTTGGGTGGCAGCTCTGCTCCGTTTTCGGGGACCCTAAGTTCTCTACTGTGATGGTCTCTGTCAAGCTCTGCCCCAACGTGCCTCTATTTAGTGATGTAATTTTCAAATTTGGCCTATGTCAACTTACCAAGCTCAAAAACTGGTTTCGATTTTGATGGGAATTATGAGTTTATAGATTAACCGGGAGAGAAATGACATCTCTTTGACATTGAACCTTGCCTGTGAACATAGGATAGTTCTCCATTTATTTAGGACTTCTTTTATGTCTTCAATGAAGTTACATAGCTTTTCCCCAAAAGGTTTTGCACAACTTGTGATACATCTAACTCCTTGGTGCCTAATATTTGTGCTGCCACCACAGCAGGTGTTTGTGCTATTGATACCTTTCCTCACCATAACTAGCAAGAAGGTGGTGTTCAGGAGTCCTACTGACTTCACGTTTACCTTATACTAGCAACTTGCTGAAATCTATTAGTCCTAAGAGTTTGTTTCTATATTCTCTTGTATTTTTTTCCTTGAGATGGAATCTCACTCTGTTGCATAGGCTGGAGTGCAGTGGTGAGATCTTGGCCCATTGCAACCTCCCCCCACCCCCCAGGTTCAGGCGATTCTCTTGCCTCTGCCTCCCAAGTAGCTGGGATTACAGGCACCTGCCACCATGCCCAGCTAATTTTTCTGTTTTTAGTGGAGACGGGGTTTCACCATGTTGGCCAAGCTGGTCTCAAACTCCTGACCTCAAGTGATCCATCCGCCTCAGCCTCCCAAAGTGCTGGGATTACAGGCATGAGCCACTGCGCCTGGCCATTCTCTTGTATTTTCTATGTAGAAAATCATTTGTGAATATTTTTGTTTTTTTCCTTCCAATCTTTATACTTTTACATTATTTTCCTACCTTTTTGTGCTAGGTAGGGTTTCCATGACACGAAACATCATTAGTCATTCAGGAGAGGCAAACTCATTCACGAGAGACAACCAGCACCCCTCTCTCATTCCTGTCTTACAG